TGAGAGAATCCAAATAGGGTTGATAAGAAATGTTGAACCCTTGAGAGGTAAGAGGAAATGATGGATTAAGGGGGTTGTTGGCGATCTTTTTGTTGACAGAATGGTTGAGGATTCCACTTTCAGATGATGCGCAATCCCTAATGTGTATTATACAAATAGCTTGCTTACAGAATGCAATTATTCAGCATAATGGCATCCGTTATTTGCATTGCTCATTCCAGAGTCCGAATGACATTGATCGATGTGCGTCACTACTTGCTTGTGTTCGCAGGTTCCAGCCACATGGGGAGACTCTGCTCTTCAACGAGGACCATCTCTGTACCTCTCACCAGAACCTCCCCTCTTGAACTCCTCGATTTCTCCTCCCTCCAACCACACACTGCCTGGAGGAGCAGAGACAACAGGTATAGTAGGCGAGCGAAGCGAACCCTGAATGCGGGGTATATGTGATGGCTCTGTTGGGCACTGCACATACTGTATATACCGTAATGTTCTACGTTATTCTAAGTACACACATAATATTGAACTGCTTGTGCTCGCTCGCCAAAAATGCATGGCATTCGTCCTAGTAAGTTGTACATGTCCGTTCACTTTTGAGGGTCTGCAAGGCTCTGTTTGTGTCTCAACAGCCCTGAGTTAGATCCAGGACAGCTACGTATGACCTAAAGTTGCTTACTTACTGCTGCGAATGTCTCTCCTCCGCCACTTTTAGTCATTACCTGATCCATAGGGAGAGAGAGAGAAAACCTGGACCATACATATGTAAATTACTGTGTGCCAAGAGGGTCAGTGTACCCTATCGACCACTGAGGGAGAGTCGAATGAATGCTTCGGGGAGGCAATTCTGTATGTAGGTGCCCCCCAAGTGGCTTGTGCTATACATACATACGGTCTTCTAACACAATGAAATCAGTACACCTCCTCAGGTCCTGTTCTTTTCTGTAGCTTTTTGTTGAGTGTGTACTGCTGTATTGTTCACTCTTCCACTAGATTGGTGGTGAGTCGTGGCACCAGATTGCCTGGGCTTTTCTTCGGACGGGGGGAGATGGGTCCAGATTACAGGGGGCGGAGGGAGAAGTGGGAGGGAGTGAGGCTAGGGGAATGGAGGAGAAATGGAGAAACATTGGAAAAGTCTGTCGCCTTCAGCTGTACTGCTATCCAAAGCGCCGTCGCAGTAAGCCTCTGTCCAGTATATCAGAGGTATGTATGTCGCTATGAACACGTGATGTGGATGGTGTAATGTCTCTTCCTGCTAGATCTGGGAACTTTGGCGTAGCTACAAGAGGAAGCCATATCCCAGCACTCTGTACGTCACTCTCAACGAAGCCACACCCACCAGGATCCAGACCACACCCACAACCAGATCCATGAACCCCTCCCAACCTGTGAGTCAGAAAATATATAGACCACACACCAGCTGTATCCCCACTCACATAATTCCACCTCAGCATACGCGAGTGCATAAATAATTTTGCCAGATTTACAAGTATTATGAAAAAACTGCACAATTGATCTCATGGCAGGATTACTATGACAATCATAGCCAGTGAAATGTATAATTATGTTTTAATAACCCCTGAGAGCTTTTAGACAAGAATTTCACCATTTAAATGTTGCAGAAAGACTTGCCCCCCAAAAAGTGTTGCCGTAAGTACATTACCCCTGCTGCAATACCTGTGTATGTACCCCTGCTGGCTGCAGGAGGTCGGCGGAGAGTCAGTGGAACAGATGATGGGCAGACTCCACACACACTCACGGAGAACGTGAGCCTACACTTTGCCTATTCTTGCAGATTACAGTGACATATTATACGTGTTGAGTATACACACATTCTCTGTTCCATTAGAGAGAAGTCAAGTGCATTCTCTCTGGTTTGTACACTCAGCTCTCTCCCAATTTTTAGGGTGTGTGTATAATTATGGGCGAGCAAAATAAGCCCATCTTTTAGACAGACTGTCTGTGCTCTACGTAATTCTAATACACATAAACGTAATAATATTTGCGTTCGCTTTCCAATAATATTATGTTACATTTATTTCACGTCTGGAATATCCATCAGTGTAGAGCCAGTAAAGAAGTTGGTGAGCGTCCCTGTTCGTCTCCCTGGTCACACCTGTCACCTCCCCACATCTCTCCACTCCCACCTTCACCCTCCCGGCCACGCCACCGGGTGCTCCGTCCTCTCCTTCTCCCCCGACGGACAGTGAGGGACAACCCCTCCAATTATAGCACTACCATAATTATTACTTATTCGTTCAGCTACCTCGGAGCTGGCTACACTGCAGCTCCTCATAAAGACAGATACACTCTTGTTGTCTATGAGGTATGTATGTATACGTGGGTAAAGACACTGTATGGTTTAGCATACATACTGCACACTATTGCATTTCTACCACAATGGAAAGCACTCGTGTCTTGATTTAAATTGCGTATACTCATTTTAACTCCTTTGCCCTCTCCCTCTACCATCAGGTGTCCACTCTGTCAGTGGTCCTGTACTCGGATGCCCATCGAGGCTACATATACTCTCTGAGCTGGTCACATGACAGTCACATGATCAGCACAGCCTCTGCTGACGGTCTTGTCAAGTAAGAGAATTGATTAACTAGTAGTTGGCAAGTCAGCACAGAGCACAGCCGGCATGTGTGAACAACAATGTGTGCTCACTGCCCTATTATCCTAAATAGACTGACTTTGTTTCCAGATCCTGGATAAAAGTAGTACATATCCTGATGTCCATAGTGTCACTGGTAGGTAACAAGTAGCCTAAACCAGCTGATTGAGAGTAAAAAGGGAAAAAATATGATTAAGAACCAATTACAATACGTTTTTCGTGACCTCTACTGTATGTAGCTTGTATTCTCCTCGCCAAACAATCAATGAGAATGTTCATGTAAACATCTTGTTTCAGGGTGTTCTCTCTTGCCTCTGGTGATGAGGTGGCGTCCCTCCCTCACCCCTGCTACATGTACACCGTCTGCTTCATCCCTCCTCCACCACCCCTCACCCCCACCTCCACCCTCCACACTCCCCCCTCCTCCCCCCTCCCTCGCATCTCCTATCACTCTTCACTGGTGGCTACGATAGAGCTATTCGTGTGTGGACGTTGGGTCCCAGCAGAGTGCAGGTGAGTGGTAGCTGTAGAGGGAGAAGGAAAAAATAATGAAAAGGTCCGCGCAAGCTGTAGTTGACCCTACACACAAGCTTGTGGGTCATAAGTCCCCTTCACACATGCATTTGTCAATGATGGGATCAATGAAGGTGCTTATTAGTAATGTCTGATACAACTAAGTTTGTTGTGCAATTCCCCATGTTCTGCTAACATGTCATTTATCAAGCCATTTATCCACATAGTATTATGTGTACATCATGTGCCCACCCTACATGCACTCTGTGCTAACAGCCGTAGCTAAACAAAATGAGAAATGCTCCATCAAATGAAACCAGATACAGAATCACATGTTTGGCAGAATGTGTACGAGCCTCAAATCACAAAAATTTACAAATCTGTAATTCGCAAAATATTTCCCCTTGCTGCTTCTGAAAATTTTGTTGTATTTCAGCTGGCTCAAGAATTGAAAGGTCACAGAGGTCATGTGAACTCCATTTGTGTGGCTTCGTCCGGTGAAGTGATGTTCTCTGGTGACAGTGTAGGGGAGGTGATGGTGTGGAGTAGGGAGGAGCCTGGTGAGTGAGTGTACTCTGTGTGTGCACGCGTGTTGGTGAGTCTAAAGTAGTACGTTTGAAGTTTGATTTTCACTGTCAACGTTAGGTTATGAAGTCCAACTTCAAACAACCCGGTGCTAGGAATATGCTTTATTCTGAGCTGTGGGTTGAGGGCTGACCAATATATCAGTATTGGGATGGAGGTCCTTATCACATCATCTAGCGCTGGGTGTAGTGCAAATTGTCTGGCTTCCAAAAGTTTACACAACAATCATTAGTACATGAGTATATACATCATTATACAGGATGACATAGCAGAAATTCAGCATTGTCATTGGCTATTTGGACTACAAATCAGTTAACATCAGGCGTCTAAGCGCCTACAGGAGATATCTTCCTCTGCTGTTAACTATACCTGCCTCGGAGTATATCCTGTACCGCCTCGCCGCCTATACGTTAACTTATGTGAAAATTATGCACTGCAAAGTTTTTTGCTGTATAATTATACACTAGAGCATGGGAGTCATCTGACCAGCTATAATATGCCTTACTTCCCACTCAGATAAAAATCTCTGGTGCTTGCAGAGGGCCGTATCCACACAAAAGGTATTGTGTATAATTATATACCTTGCATGCACCCACTAGGTTTACATAGTTACGCATTTATAGCGGCTGGACCCTCTGAAGCCTTAGGAGGTCCTACTACATGTGGGTAGATAGCAGTGTCAATATCAGGGCTGCAGGGCCAGGCAAAGGTTACTGATGAATATAAGCTTTTCTAACATAATTTCACTTTTCAGTTAGCAACAACCATTAGCTGTTAGCTGTATAGCTGTTCTTATAACTTCTGCGACCATGATAAGACATGTGCAATAATTAGGATTTCTTAGTAGCTGAAAGGGTGACTGCATAACACATCACATGTTTGCTTCCAGTCCCCAGCTCCAGTTCTGTCCCTGTGTCTACACCCTGGAGGAAAGAGACTGTTGGTTCACACAACCACTGGCAGACTGGCCATGATAGACCTGAGAGTGTAAGCTTCCCTTTCAGTTCTAACAACTGTTGTGCACAAGGGTGTCGGACAAAAATGTTACTTTGCCGTTCCTAGGCCTAACGTTAATTGGCGGTTGCGTTGCGCGGGTCGTTGAGTTCAAACGTGTGTGCGTGCAGCCTTGTCAGCTTTTTCTCGTGCGTGGAGCTTGCTGGCTGATGGAGACGTCTGCTGTCTTGGAAAGCACGTCTACAGCGAACCGAAAACGTCCTCAGTCAGTGGGGCACGAAGGAGCAGACAACTCGAGCGTAGAGGGCGGAGCTCGCGCAAACGCAGGCGAAAACGGAGGTAGCGGCCTTGACGACCACCGAGGCTCCCTTTGCCCGCCGCCTACCAAGAGAGCCACCACCGTCAGTGCCGCGAGCCCCGAGGAGGAGAACGGTTCGTCCAGTGAGCAGTCTGAGCTGGAGGAGCATGCTCCGGGGAGCAACCAGACGGCCAAGTCCAACAGGTGGGCGATGACTCACTTCTGCAGGTGGCTGGAGGACCACAACGAACGCCACCCCGAGGACCCTGTCCCCGTGGACCTCCTCAAACGGCACAAGGAGCCCGAGCTACTCAACAAGTGGCTGGCTCGCTATGCCAATGAGGCTCGGAGACTCGACGGTAAACCCTATCCTGCAACCTCGGTCTACTTCCTACTGGCAGCCCTCGTCCGACAGATGCGGAGCGAAGACCCGTCCACTCCAAATTTCCTCACCTCCTCCAACATCCAGTTCAAGCCGCTCCACGACTCACTCGAGAGCACCTTCCGCAGACTGCGAGAAGAGGTCCCGAACGAACCGAAAAACCCTCCGCCTCTGACACACGAGGAGGAAGAGCGTCTCTGGTCCTCGGGCGCTCTCTCGTGCAACAGTCCAAGGGGTCTCATGCGTGCCGTGTATTTCCTCAACGTTAAGTACTTGGGTCTGACGGGCGGCAACAAACACCGCCTCCTCAAACTCAGCCAGTTCAAACGCCTCAATAACCCGCCTTGCTACGTGTACTCCTACACTGAGCCCTCCTTGAGTGTCTTTGAGAAGGGGACAAATTCTTCAACCTCGGTTTGGATCCGAAAAAGATCAGAGTCGTCCCAGTCGAGTTTAGTAAGGACAGTGACTTTGAACGCTGCACCTGAGATGGGAACCAGGTGCTATGTGTTTGTTCTTGACAACTACCTCCAGAGGGTTCCGCCAGAGGCTTTTGCGAAAGACACGTTTTATCTCCAACCGCTCGGACACACTTTGGCCAATGTTCCGCACTTGTGGTACAGCCTGAATCCAATGGGCAAGAACGCGCTGAGTAGATTAGTGAAGGAGATGTGTAGCGATGCAGGCATCACTGGTGCGAGGAATTTGAAGGTAATAAAGAATTCTGCAGGCCACAGAGGCCCCGAGAATATCGAGCCGTCGGCGGTGGCAACGACAGGGGTGTCCCCCCAGCAGGGGTCAATGGTGCTGTCCCCGCAGATTGTCATTCCTCCGCTGTCGTTTCTGATGCAGGGGGCAATGCAGGTACCTCCTCTTCCCTCCCCTACTACTGACACTCCCACCACCCCAGTCAACTGGGCCGGGGAGGTAAGTCTGGCCTCTCTCTCACAGCTCTCACAGAAAATTATCCAACAATTGCAGCCCATTGCTCCTAAACTGCCCCCAAATTCAGTAGGACAGCAGTCAACTAGACGACAACGGTCCCAACCGGTCAACACTGGGCAAGCACCACCTATTATTCAAGGGGGTGTTACCCACCACCCAAACGCTGCTCCCAACCTGCACCTAAATCTACAGCCCACCGCTACCACCACGTCAACTATTAATGCCCCCAACTCCACTCTACCTCGCACACCCACACCAACACAGCCTCGCACAGCCCCTTCCAATCGCCCACTGCCCCCGCAATCACTTTCAATGCATAGTTCCACGCAAACTGTCCCACAAAGCACACAACAGGTTCCAGTAAAAGGAAAGTCTACTACGTCACGAGGAGACCCAAACCACCAATCTACTCCACAGCATCCGAACGAGGACTCTGGCTCACCTGGTCCGACTGAGCAACAGGAAACGCGGTCAATTCACCTTCCACCACCAGTGTGCTCCTGTCAGCGCCATGGGGCTCCACAACAACTGACCTTCAATAACTGCCACGTCACGATCTATTTGACGCCACCTCCAAACCCATAGTTCACCATTACTTATTCTGAGCTTGTGTTCCGCAGTTTATTCAGCCAGCTGTATTTATACCACCCCCAGTGATATACACAGACGCAAGGCGGCCCAAAGCGTATATACTTGCGTCAAACAACGCGGGTGCTAGGAATATGGTGAGTGTACTGTATTCTGAGCTGTGGGCTGAGGGCTGACCAATGTATATCAGTATTGGACCGGAAGTCCTTATCACAACATCTAGCTCTATATAGGCGTAGCAAATATGTCTGGCTTCCAAAGTTTACACAACAATCAGTGGTACATTCATTATACAGGATGACACAGCAGAAATTCAGCATTGTCATTGAACTACAAATCAGTTAGGATATCCTCGCCTGTAACTATACCGGCCTCGGAGTATAATATCCTGTGTAGCGTACGTTTACTGCGCATGCGCACTCCAGCTCTCAGAGACGACTACTTGTGGACTGCAGCTACAGGATGGATCGGGAGATGGATTCGCAAGACACTGCGTCCTCCTCGTCCGCTTGTCCTCTAGAGTCGTCTGGGGAACTACCGGTCCGCATGCTGAGGGGAGGGAGGAAATACGCAGATCCTCCTCCCGCCAAGAAAAGAGCCGCTGGGGGCGGTGCGTCAATGATGGACGAGGGGTCGTCGAGCGACTCTGAGATAGACTTCTCCGCGTTACCTACCTGGACAAAGAACACGCGTGTCTCTACCAAGTGGGCCATCGACACCTTTGTATGTTGGCAGAAGAGTCGCGCCGCTAGATTCCCCGGTAACAGCGAAGAGAGGCCGCCGTCGGGGCTTCTAAAGAGCTCGGATCCGCAGCTTCTAGGCAAATGGCTCGGTCTCTTCGCAGACGAAGCTCGTAAAACGGATGGGAGCTACTACCCGGGCAAGACAGTGTACCATATACTGGCTGGTTTGCATCGGTACATGAGGAGCCTCAATCCCTCCTGCCCCAACTTTCTAAGTGACGGTCCCCACTTTAGGTCTATCCACGATGCTTTCGTAACAGAGCGTGGCAATGCGGCCGAGTATAAGATCCACCGATCACTGAGCAAGGAGGAGCAGGACAAACTCTTAGCTTCTGACACACTGTCCATCGACACACCTGACGCACTGCTGAAAGCGTTGTTCGTTCTCAATGCAAAGAGTTTTGGTCTGCACTCGGCTGAGCATCAGGGCAGACTCAAACTGAGTTACTTGAAGCGTATGACGGACCCTCTCAGGTACGTTTACCGGGAGCAGCCGGCCGAAGCCGTTTCAGTGTCCTCTATGTCGAGGGCAAAGGCAGACAAAACGGTCCATGCCCTCGCTGGAGCTCAAGATGCAGGCAACCTGTGCCCCGTCCACGTCCTCGATTTCTACCTCAAGAAGATTCCGCCGGAAGCGTTTGAGAAGGACGTGTTCTATCTGCACCCAGTGAAAGAATGGACTTCCTCAGAGCACTGGTTCACTCTAAGACCAATGGGAAGATCAGCCATCGCCAAACTGGTGGGAGAAATCCGAGCTACCCTACCCGGGCTAAGTTCTTCCTCTGATGTGGGACACTCCCCTGGTGCTGGAGTTACATCAGTTGCACAAGGTCAAGAGGGTGACCAAACAATTGCACCACAATCATCTCAGGGGTCTCCCCCAGTTTCAGTTGCTCCCCAGGTCTACGTGGTGCACGGCTCAGACCCCAACCTGTCCCCAGCCTCTCTGGAAGGTGGCGACAACTCGCAACCTGTCATTCTCAGCACCGCCACCTCCGCTGTCTCCCAAAACGTCATCACTCCTCAACAGCAGGAGAGAATGCTGGAAATTGCCAGGGCCACCCCCAATCCAACCAATCAGCCCCTGTTTTTCATACCGGCTACTTGCACCGTTCCACCAGGCAGCGCCACACTGCCGACTCAAACACAAGATTTTTTTCGCACTGCATCGATCACCACACCTCTAAACCGGTCTCTTTATCCTTCTACTCAGCAGTCTGCTGTTACAAAACAACCCCGTGCTGGTCGCCAGCCGTCTGTGCCACCAGTGATTGACCTTACAGCCACCGACACCGCAACTCAGTCTCCACCACCTGCAAATGTTCCTGCCCCTGCCCAAACGACCAATCAACAACCTACCCAGCCGGTTCAATCATCGCTGCCACAGTCTACTCCGTCTCAGGCATTCAAGAAGGAGTCCCAGCAACTGATGTTGCCCTCAATCAGTGGTCTTCCACAACTCGTGTTCAATAACTGTCACGTGTCTATCTTTATCACCCAACAGGCAGCCCCGTCATCCACCAGTAGTGAAGAATAAACCTTTTTAAGAAGCAGTGTGCATACTGTAATGTACCTGAAAAAGTACAGCTATACTAGAACAAATACATTTTTTTCGCAAGCGAAGCAAGCAGTTTGATTTTTCATGTGCATCTTTCACGCAGATTTAGAATCACGTACAACATTACCGTACCGACAGAACAGAATGCACTACATTGTGTCATATGAATGTTCATTGGAATGTGATGCAGGGACCGTGAATGTTGCATCTATGGTGTGGTGCACTCTCCTGGCCATCGGGGGAGCAGTCTGGTGACACCATGTGGGATGATGGTAGTTGGTGGGGGCGGGGAAGGAGGAGTGGTGAAGGTGTGGACTTGTGACAATGGTAGGTGGTTCACATTATTTGTAGGGGAATGTGCATTGATGCCAGAAAATGGATGCATTCGTGCATTTCCTACATGCAAAAACTTGAGCTGTTGGTTTACATGATCTTGCCCATGTTTACTATTACCTCATAATCTGGTCTAATTTTGCAGGTGAACATCAACACTCATTCAGTCTACCACAGTCAACTGTGATATCCTCCATCTCCCACCATCCATCTTTCCACCTTTTGGCTGTCTCCTCCTTATCATACCATCACCCTGTATCTCTCCTCACACATCACCAGTGACTCTCTCACTTGCTATTGGC